AAAAGTTTGCCTGCGTATTTATGATAGATGATAAAAATCCCAGGCGCATTAACCCAAAAGGTATCGGGCTCATATATATATATATATAGATATGTATATAGATATGTATAGAAATTCTCTCAGAATCGAGAACAAGATGAACAAGCTGACGCTGGTTCATTAGGAAAACCGTGAGCTTGACAGAGCCGGGGCAGCAGCTAGTCGACAGCTACACGTTCGGACTGCAGCTCTGCATAGCCCTTACATACGTTGAAATGACCAGACTGCTGACTCCAGGACCCAAGCTTTTTCTGAACATGTACTATGTTTCTTAAAAGCAGAGTCCAGCCGCATTAGCAGCACTGTTGAGACATGCTTTTGCCGTAGAGAATCACGCGCCTGGCGACAGGTGCAGCTGCGACTGGAAGGCTGCGACCACGAGAGGCGCAAAGCTGGGAATCATAGACCCGTGACATCCGTATGTCAGAGTGGCAGGAATGAGATGATCAGCGCACTTGCAAAGGTGGTAGCATAGAAGCCAGACTCTATCACAGTCCTCATCTACTTCTACTGAAGAAGTCATACATGCCTGGCTCCTATGTTTTAGGCACCTTCCCCAGCAACGGCAGTCACAACTGATGCTGAGCTCATCGCTGGTGTTTGGGAAGAACAAGCGACACATATTCTTCTAGCCCAGAAGGTGCACCTAAGACTTCGTGTGCTGCTTACAGGGGGTTGTCAAATTCATGGAACCTTGTATACCAGAGGCTGTATTACCATGGAGGCAAAAAACGCACGCCACAATTCTACCAACCCACTGCATAATCCGACCACAAGGCTGCAATCTCATAGGCAGGACTCCTGGTTGCGCAGGCAAAGGAATAAAGATATGGGATTTTCTTCCAACGCGGAGTCCCCATGTTGCCTCTGCCCCCGAAGCATTAGGATCTCGATGACAACCATGTATTTCCAACCTTACCTTTGCTTAGCTAGGAATGAAGGAGTGGATCCTTATAGTAGTCCCTACATAACACATGATAGTGGTTGCCATGTTCTGTTCCATTCCTTCATTCCCACCCTAAACCCTAAACCCTGAATCCTAAACCCCGAACCCTAAAGTAGTTTCCATTTTCTTTTCCATTCCTTCATTCTCAGCTAACCAAGGTAAGCAGCTGCTTCTGCCTCCACCCTGCAGGTTTTGTTAATTTTCGCATCTTCCTGCTTTCCCCCCTGGTGCTTGTATCATGAGGATTATTGTTGGAGATTTAGGGATTAGTATATGGATCCATTCCCCCAACCCCCCCTAAGCACCAGGGAGGTTCCGGTACTTGGGGGGTCGGGCGGCTTAGTACGTGCATTTCTAACCTTGGATCCGTGTTTCACCAGGGGCCGGTAGGACCACCGCCCTAAAGCCTAAATCTTCAACCCTGAACCCTAAACCGTGAGGAAATCTTCAAGTCTCAAGCTTGAGCAGGTTGGGCATATCCGATCACTTTCGCGGCCTTGTGGATGGGAGACTTTGAGTGAATTGGGGATTTAGGGATACGGTCAAACCTTATGTTAAGAAAACTACGGCCCCGAGTCAGACTCTCAACATTTCTTAAGCGGGTATACAGGCTTAAGAAATCTAACGACCGCCCCTAGAGCCCAGTCCAACCCTCCAGAAACCCAGGCCCCAATGGGACATCACCAAACACACCATTTGAAAAGCGCGTGGTTTCGGTGTTTTGGGGGGGCGAAAACACCGAAACCACCCCGCAGCTCAACTCCCTCACGTGGTCTGCTTGTGGCCTGGGACCAAGGCCTGCGGAGTCTTGCCCCTGAAGCCACGGACCTCCTGAAAGTTGAAAAGCACGTGGTTTCGGTGTTTTGGGGGCCGAAAACACCGAAACCACGCGCTTTTCAACTTTCAGCGGTCCGGGTGTTCCTGCCTTGAGGGGAGCTGGGAGGCCTTGGGAGGTGGAGGTTCTGGAGGCTTTGAAGGGTGAGGCCAGAGGGGCTGGGAGGCTTTGGGGCCTGGGGAGGCGCGAATCTTGCTTTTCAATTTTCAGGCTCAAGTTTTGGGGGCTTCAGGGGAGGCTTCCCTTTATTCTGAATTGCCCAGGCCAAAGTTTGTGCGTACCAAGGATTTTCCGCTGAGTGAGAGTCTCAATTAATTTATTTTTCCCGCATCCAGAGTCTGGTTTCTTGTTCCATAAAATTTCTTAAAATTTCTTAACATACTGCTCCACCGTACCATTTTGGGGGTCCCAATAACAAGGATTGTAGTACTTGGGGTCCATACTGGGGTCCTCTTATCTATGCAAGCTACTTGGGTGGGGCACTTGGGACTGCAGGCATTTATCAGGCAACCGTGGCCATAATCGTTAAACCCATCAGAAGGTCCCACACTTGCAGGCTGACTTCGTAAAGCTGCTTATCATAGCAGATACGGGTTCAGGATTCAGGGATCATGTGCAGTACTTTACGAATAGCAATGTCTTCTGGATGCGCAGAGGTTTGCAGGAGGCACTGCTTTCAGGAAGAGACCCCTCATGACCTAAGAGAAGCGTCCTTGAGGGATAACGCACAGGGCTTGAGGGATGACTCAGAGCATGAGACATGATAAATGTAACCTGTAAACCGTGGCCACCAGAAGCTCAAATATTTCTTTACAGAGTCCACAAGTGCAGATCTCTGACTCTCTCTCCATTCCTCCTTTTTGGTCAATGAATGACAAGCCTACAAATTTTGCCCTACAGCCCATTTGAGAAGCTTTCAGACCCCTACGCTCCATTTTTTCCGTTTCGGCCCTTCCCCTCCTTTTTCCTGCGCCCCCTGGTAAACGTACCTCTTCAGCAGCTCCTTGTGCTCAAGCTTTCTGTGTTCTCTGTGCGCCCTTGCCACCGCCATGGAGCAGGTGTTCGCATCCACTGCTGTCGAGGCGGACGTTGCCGCCAAGCTGCTGGAACGTTTCCAGCAAGCAGAAACCCTCCTGCGTACAGGAGGCTCTGCCGCAGCTGCCGAGGTGACGGAGGCAGCCACCGCCTCTGGTTGGATCCGCGTAGGATCGGGTGACCCCAACCTTGAGATCAACCCGTTTGCAGCCGTGCTGCTTGGCTTCGAGCCGCCTTTGTTGTCCGGCACCATGGCACCCTTGCCAGTGGTGAAGGAGAAGGACGTTCCTTCCGGGCCCGGGGACGTTTTCTCTTAACCTTTGGGCCCACGCCGGCGCAGGCGGCGAAAGAGGCCGACAACAGGGCTCGTAGCCGCAAAAAGAGGCAGAACAAGCAGAGCTCTTTGGAGGGGTCCGTGACCTTCACGCCAGAGTTTTTTGAGGAGGCGTCCTCCGCTTCCAGTGTCCCTCCTGCCTCGTGCCGCCTAACCCTGCAGGCCTTGACGCGTTTGGGCCCAACCCAAAGCGCAGGAAGGGCACGAACCCGGCGTTTTCCTGGTACCAAGGCGAGCACGTCAACCAGGGCCGTGCCCGCACGCCTCCCCCGGGGGTGCGCCAGCCTCCTGCGCCGCCGGCCGCTGAGGCCACGAGCCCGCGTGCCAACGTGGTCCTCCGTGAGGCCAATCAGGAATCCGGGAAGGGATCCGGTGGCCGTGTGCGTAACACGGACAATCGCAGCGAGCGCGCTCGTAGCGCAAGCCGCCCTGCCAACACCTGCGCACGCGCGCGTAGCGCAAGCCGAGGCCCGGCTCGGCAGGAGCCAAGTGCAGGAAGGGGCCGTGCCCCGGAGCCCGGCAAGCCCGCTATGACCTGCGAGTGGGGCTGCGGGCAGCCTTTGGAAAAGGATGATGCCGTGCATCCATTCACCTGCAGCGTCTTTGGGTGGTACTGGGGACGGCAACTGCCCAGCGCAGAAGCACTGGTTCTGCCCCCAGTGCAGAACCATGTACTGCCGGCAGTGCTGCCGCGAGTCGCACCGTCGTACGGTGACCCGCCCAGAGCCCCCGAAAGGGAAGGGCAAGAAAGGCAAGAAGTGAATCGGGCCGTGCCCTTTGGCAGCCGTGCTGCTGGAAAAGCTGGGGACGTTCCCCGTATGAGGCGCCGCGCCTTCGCCTCAAATGAGGCTAGTGATCTGACTTGCGTTTACTGGGCCGAAATCGCTTGCGCGAAAATGAGTGGACGATCATGGTATGCTCTGATTGCACAGATGTGCACACAAACATGGTATGCTCTGTTTGCTGCGTAGGCCTCCACTCAGACATGTACACAAACATTGTATGCCTTGTCTCCTGGCAAAACGGGGACAAGGATTTCAAGGCATCCGCCGCATGAACATATCCCCAATCACCCCAAGCTCAACATCCTAAATCCAAAGCCCTTACACCTTAAACCTCAAATCCGCAAATCCGTAAACCATTGGCATTAAACTCCAAGCCCCAAACCCCTAAACCCAGATCCTTGAACCCAAATCCCACACCGTAACGCCTAAATCCCTGAGCCCCACATCCCTAATTCCTAATACCTAGGATCTGGATAGGAAAACATTCAAACTACAATGAAGTTATAACCCGCATCCCCTTATAGTTGTTATTATTCTGCAAAATGCAAATAATGTTTCGGAATATTCCTACTTGGAATCCCTAAAACCTAAATCCCTCCAGTGTTGATTTCATTTTGCCTTCTTCTTGTGCATTTGATTCTGCATCATCCTAACATACCCTTCATAGTCCCTGTATGCCTAGATTGGAAGTTTTTCTCAAACTTGGGACCCTAAAGCCTAAACCCCACACCCAAAACCCCAAACCCTAGACCCTACACCCTAGTGCCCAGCCTAAACCTTAAACCATCCTAAACCCTAAACCCCAGGATTGTTCAGCAGCATTTGCATGAGATGGCCGAGTTGGAGGCCAGGCTCTCGTCACCCTGCGAGGCCCGGGATTAAGATGCAGGGGCTTTGAGGGTTCAGGGTTTAGGGTTTTGGGGCTTAGGGTTTAGGGTTTTGGGGTTTGGGTCTAGAAATTTGGGGATTTTTTGGGGTATTAGGGATTCTAGAGGTTTAGGGATCTTGGAAGTTCACAGTAGGGGTTTTGGGGCTGAGGGGTTGTAGGGTGTTTGGTTTGGGGGTTTTGTGGGTGCCGGGTTTAAGGGCTAAGGGGTCTAAAGTCTAAGAGTTTAGGGCTTAGAGTTCGGGGTACGGAGTTCTGTTTAGGGTCAAAAGAGTGTAGGTTTAGGGGTTTAGGGTTTCATCGCGTCTTGTATCCCTGGTGCTAGCGAGGAAGAACGCTTGAACATGAAACTCCAGGGAGAGTTGCATTTTAGGGCTTATAGGGTTTAGGGGTTACGGTTTGGGATGTGCGTGCCGGTCGATTTGTCTTTCAAAACGGGCGTCACAGGAAATGCGTGCCAAGATTACGCTGAAGTCCGATGTAAGATGCAGTACCGTTGCACACTAGTCTGCCCTTCTGAACAACATCGGTTCCGCAGACCCTAATCTTGCTTCTGTCTATGCAAGAATTTCTTTCCTTAGGTCTAATGTTGAAGGCTTTTGCGTCCTTGAAGGTGCACAGCTGCCGAGAACCAAATTCAGCGCAATCCGCAAGTTGAGATCTGTCTCAATGTTGACGTGGGTCTTTGCAGTGGGGATGCCTCTGTCAGACAATGAAGAATTGAACTCTGAGCGCTGCACCCATTTGCTTTTAACTTGCGCAGAGATTTCTGTTGTGTTGTTTACTGCAGCGCATGTGCGGTTTCTTTGAAGGCTGAAAATGAAACCATCGCAAGCCCGGTCCGATGAGGACCCCATCATCACGGACTGTTATGAGTATCTTTCATCATTGTTGATCTTATTGCTAAGTCTTATTATCACTACGACTATTGTGGCTGCTAGCTACTATTACTACCATTACCATGATTAGTACTACTATTATTCTTCTTACTATCATTACTCACGACTCTTACCATTCTTTTCGGCGGCCTTAAAGGATGGTAACGTGTTGTTGAGGTCTGCTTTGCGGCCCTCTCTGGAATTTACTTGGAGAGTCAGGGGGACTGAGTAAGTGGGTTTAACAGTGGGGATCACTGGGGTTTCTGTATGTCTTTTAGGGGTTCTAAGTATATTTGCCAAGTCCCCCTGACCCTTCAAGTAAGAGACACCCCATGGTTTGTCGATGACTTTAGTCTCCCTTGTTTGGGGACTTCACAAAGCTAGGGTCTAGCAGTAGATGCCACCCAAAATATTACAGCCTTTCAACAACGGATCATCGGAACCCTAAAAAGGAGCGCCATTTTGAGACCTCTCCGCCTGACGCCACGAGGCAGCCGCCGCAACGACGAGCTTGTTGGAAGTGCCAGGGGCGACCGCAACTTCAAGTCTGTCTCCTCGTTTCCTGGCTTCTGCAATGGTTTTGGGTTTGCAGAAGAAGCCAGAAAGTTGGAGCCTCAGCATCCCCCAAGAGGAGATGGTAGCATGACTCATCCTTTTCCTATTTCCATGTTCCAACGTTCTGTTCTGACTGTTGATCAAGGAATTGCCATGCATTGCGTAGTATCAGTTACCAATAGTTAGCGGATGATCGTGGTTAAAGGGTTGTGAAAGTGCTGCGTAGATGTTAAGAGATTCCCTAGGAGAGTGCGTATCCCAAGTGCCACGAGATTCTTTCCTTGATGCTCTGATAGTAATACTAGTGCTAATAGTATAAAGAGTAACATTACCAGTGCTAGAAATGTAGCGTCCGCTATACAGAGTTCTGGTATTGTGTGGTTCAGCGGGTGGCGGCGGCGGCTCTTTTCCTGCTTTGTGCTCATAGCAGTCGTCCAGATATTGCCTGGTTCTTTTTTGCGTTGGAGGCGCTAGACCTTCAACCCTAAACCCTCAACCCCAAGCCCCTAAACTCCCCCTGACCCTCAACCCTTACTACCAGCCCTGGTGATCGCTGGCCTTCAGGCTTCGAAAAAAAGGTTTCGCAAGAGTCCATGCTGCTTGATCTGCACAGGGGTTCCAACAGCTCATTGTAGGGTCCCCGGGTACCCTTAATGTGAGAAACTTCATATTCGAAGTGATCCAAGTTTCCGGGTTCTTGCATGAAGTAGACATGCTATGTATGGCCATACTTTTCCCCTTAAAGAGCGGCACTCCCAGAATCCGTCAATGCCTAGGCATCCCTTCTCCGGGATATTCCTGTACAGGCGGAAGATCGGGTTTAGGATGTTCATGGGGTTCCTAATGCAGGGGTTTTCCCCACACCTGGGTACTTTGTCTTGACGCACTTTGGACTCTTGTTTGAAAGTTGTGGTATTTGTGGGAGATTTTTCGGCTTCATGATCCCAACGCCCCGAAATCCATCCCCTTGTCTGAGTCTCACGCCCCTGAAGAGTGGGGGTAGCAAGCCTCAGGCGGGGCTTTGTCATGGCTCAGCCCTAAGGAGCCTGCCGAGGAATTTCAGTACGGCTAGGGACATGTGAAATGTGTATGTAATCCCTTATTTTGAGGGCCCTATTCGGTCTCCTGTTCGAGGGAAGGGGGAGATCTTGGTGGGCCTGCAGCAAGCCGTCCTGACATTCTCTGACCCATGCCTACCTTAACCGCCGAAAAACGCATCCACAAGGCATGAACCATAGTCTAAACTCCTTCAAGAGGGTTATACAGGGTGTGGGGGTCATTAAGGGGGATACTAGGCGTTTAGAGTATAACTCTTATAAACCCCTTTATAATCCCAGTCTCTTTTGCATTTTCCTTCTTTTATTGGGGGTAAAAATATCCGGAAGAGCTCGTCTCAGGCTCGCAAGGGCCCTAAACCTAAACCCTAAACCCCCCAAATCTTAGGCTCTCAAGGGCACTGTTGAAGTCGACGAACCCCTCGGCCGTAATGAACTCTGCCGCGGCATTGCGCAGCCTGTCGCAGTTCCAGACTTGATGGTCTCCAAAAATTCGGGGTATCTTTAGCACTTGGGGAATAGTAGCCCCTCTATATAGCTTGTAGGGGGTTATATAGGGTTTAGGGTTCCCCAGAATTAGGGGTACCTTTTTGGAGGTCCCCATAGCAAGGATTATTGCGTCTTTGGTCTTTATTGCGACCCCACTCTTATTCAGGGAGACTACCATTGGAGGGTTTACAGACCTCAGGATGGCGACAGCGAGGCCACGTGGTTGTACAAAAACTTTCTAGTGCTTTGGAATTAGATGATTGAGCACATGGGGTTTAGGTTGAGACAAGATCTTCGTACCTGAGTTTTGCCTCGTATGTGGTGTCTCAGTTGCGTAGTCTGGGGGTGGGATTCTTTTGTTGTAGTTGGGCTTGGAAAGACCCCTATGTTGATACAGCCATTTGAGTGGATGTTGTGCAGGAAGCTGCCCGAAGTCTGCGCAGCAGAAGCGTCCTTGGAGCTCAG